TTTTTTTTTTTTTTTTTTTTTTTTTTTTTTTTTTTTTTTTTTTTTTTTTTTTTTTTTTTTTTTATTCCTCCAGATATCACTGCTGTTAGCAACAGCCGAACGAAGAACCGGAAAGTCGTGTCAGAAACGAAGAAGTCTAGGTTACGAGATTGTGCGACGATGATACTGGCAATTAAAGGATAATGGTGGTGGAAGGCAGTGGACGACTTGTAAGGCTGAAGTGGAGTTGAAGAGGGTTGGCGGACAAGGAAGATTGTGGAACGACGACGGCGACCACCATCAGCAAACGAGCATCCTCACAGTTCGAGTTCGTCCCTGAGACGTGCGTACGCGCCTGGATCTTCGTTCTTAAGGCGCTTCAAATTCCTGGCGCACTCCCGCGGATCTTCTACGTGCCTTTTGCGCCTCGGCACTGGCGGTGTTACTGCAGGGACCGCCGGTTCCGGCTCTCCTGAAGCACGACTCTTTGGAAATCGACCGAATACGAAAAAGAGTGGAAAAACAGATATTCGAAGAAAAAGCAAACAACGGTTCAAAGAACCGGTCAAGCACAAAGAGCAGAGTCTAACCTGGGATATAAATCGCCTCGAGCTCCTCACTTCTTCCCAGGAGCGCGAGCTCGATTTTCCGGGCCCTGCGCGCTTTCATCGTGGTCTTCGGTGCCATTGCGCACCAATCCTGCTTATGTCGTCGCAGGGCCGCTCGCACTTGTTCCGGCGTCGCTTCATCCGGAACTGTCAGATAGCAGCGGCACTGATGGCAATAGCCTATGTAAAGAAACACATCAGAAAATGCCGCGTTTCGAAGAATGCCTTCCAAAAACTGGCAGCAACTGCAGATTCCTAACGCTTCTAAAATTAGCACACCAAAGTGCACCAATTTACAACGCCTCGCCAACGGCAACAATGCGCGGGCGAAGCTTTTGACAACTATTTCGCAAGAAGACAAGAAATAGTTGAGAAACAAAAGAATGCATTATTACTCACCATTGCGGTGGTGGTCGCGAGATAACGACACGTGTATTTTCCACCCTCGTAACGTGTCGAATTGTCGTCCGCCGCATCCGGGTAAGCGGCATTCTGAAACACACAGAATCAGCCCGTTCAAAGTGAGAAGTAATCATCAAGCAAGCACACTCTTGCTTTCATCCTACGAATTTTCCGATGCGAAAGGGAGCTGGTAAAACTAACAGAAGGAGCTGGTAGGAACCGGTAAAAAATTTTTAGTAACATTTTAATAACGGTTAATAATTACCAAAGTGGCGGTGTCCATCACCGTCCACATAGTCCCGGTATGGCTGCTCCACCGATATTCTTGCTGCCGCGCGGAACGGTGCCGGCATATCCGCCGGCAGATCGCGGAGCTCACGCGGAGGCGTGACTCGGCCTCCAACTCTTCCGTCACCGACGACCGGGACGGGGATTCTGATGATGCGTGCGCGCCTGCAAAAACCAACCATGGAATTCATTTTATCCACAGCTTTTGAACGGGAAAAAGCTGTGCCATTAGAAAGCTACGGTAGACATGACTTTTTTCATCACCCCCCCCC